GATAAAGTTGGAGTTGTTGAAAGAAAGTATAAAGACCAAAGAGTTTGTGAAAATGTTGCAAACTTCATTATGGTTTCAAACAATGCTGTTCCGATGAAGTTCGAAAGTTCTGACAGAAGATATGTAGTTGTCAGAACGTCAGAAGCTCATATGCAAGATACAGAATATTTTGACGACTTAGCAGAAACTTTGACATCTGACTTTTACAACCATTTGTTTTCATATTTCATGACATTAGATATTTCTAAGTTCAATCCAAGACAAATTCCACATACCGAAGAGAGACAAACATTGTTAGAAGCAAACAAGAGTGTATATGAACTGTTCATAGATGAAACTGACTTTGTGTCATTAGATGAAAAGTCTTTATATGATGAATATAAACAATATTGTCAAGAATATGGTTATATGGCAGCTTCTAAACGTACATTCTTGGCAAATGTCAAAAGTCTTTTAGATGTTCAGAATGGTGTATATACAAAGAAAATTTTTTCTGAGTAAATTTTAAAAAAAATATTTTTTTATCCGATAGAAAAAGATGGCAAAATTCATCTCAGTAAATAAGTACATGTCAGGACTTAAAGAAGAACTAGACCCATTCACATATTTGAATGTTTACTTCTACCATTTTGAAAAGTCTTCATTCAGCAAAGTTTGGAACATCGAACCAGTTAAGTTTGCTATTGTGACTAAAAATGGTGCGAAATTTGAAGACTTAGACATAGAAGGTTTGTTAACAGTCAAAGAAAGTTTTGACAGAAGGTTCTCAAACCTTAAAGAAGGCAAAGCATACAAACTTGTTATACCTTATGAACCAAAGAAGACAGACGACTATGAATATTATGAGTCTAAAGTTGTAGAAGTTCAAGGTAAATTGGGTAAAAAGATTTTAGAGTCTAAGCCAGTGTTTACTCCTAAAGAGGAAGAGAACATTGACATTGACCCAGAAATGTTCTAAAAATAAAATTTTATTTTTACATGTCAAATTTCTTTTTTTCTGGAACTGGTTCAGGTTCTTTCTTCTCTTCTTCTTTTTTCTCTTTCTTTTCTTTCTTCTTCTTCTCTGGTGGAGATATGTCAAATTTCTCAGAACCATATCTATGTAAAAGTTCTTTGTCCTTTAATAGCTCATCTATTCTGTTTTCTATTTCATCTTCAAGAACACCGCATGTGTCTTCTTTGCATTCTAAGAACTTTTGTTGGACTTCATCTTTCCAATCGGCGTCATCTCTGTCAACAAGTCTATCATTGACAAATTTTAAGACTGCTCTTTGTAATGTTTTATGGTTCTTGTCATATTCCCAGAAACAGAACTTTAGAACAAATTCACATTTCTTGTTTACACTATGTAAGATTTTATGGTCGACAGATGTTTTGCTGTCAAAAAGCTTGTCTCGAATATAGATAGCGAAATCGCTAGACATTTTCTAAAAGATAAAAATTTTAATTTTTCTAAAAATATGTTAGAAAAAAAGTTTGCTGACATTGACAAGAAATTTGAGAATGTTTTAAATAAGAACAAGAGGAAGTTAGAAAATGCTCAGATAAAACCTATACATGACAAGTTCTTATTTGCTCAGAATGGTATAACAGGTCTAATTGCCACCACTGGGTCGGGTAAGACTTTCACTTATCTTAAAATGGCTGCACAACAACAAGAACTAGATGAGAAGAACCCATTCTATGAGTTAGTTGTTATTTGTTCGACTTCTGGTCAATTTGACCAAACCGTCAATTCGTTCAAAGATATTATAAAGAAGTCTAAGTTAGTATGTATAAAGGATACTGAGTTGTTAGATTGGATAAAGAAGTACCAAAGAAGAGTTTTGAAGTATAATGCTATAAATGAGTATATAAATTCAAAGTTTAAAGAACCTAATGAGGAAATGCAGAGAATATTAGAGAAGAAACACTTCAGAAACAAACAGAAAGAGATAGAATACATTTCGAAGAAATTGCAATCTTACGATTGGAAGACTTACCCTCATAGGTGTCTTCTTATCTTAGATGATTTCGCCTCTCATCCTTTGTTAAAGAATAGAGAACAAGATATGTGTCGAATTCTTAAGAAGCTCAGACACTTTAACATCTCAGTTGTCATTTGTGTACAGACAGCAAAGAGTTTAAGTAAGGATGTTAAAAGAATACTTACTGACATTATACTTTTCCCCGGATTGTCCGAAGACGATTTCATGGAACTTATGAAAGAGTCCATGGCAGGTAAGTTTGACAGACATGAACTCTGGGAGAAGTATAAAGTCATACAAGACCCTCATACTTCTTTCAGAATTCATATCTATGCGAACAAAGTTCAAATTGTAAATGGTCAAGCTTGAAAAATAAAGAGTGCATCTACCCTACTTGTTTGAAGTTGTCAAAATACTCTGTTATTTTTTCCTTTAACAATGGCAAATCTTCTTTGAAGGTAAGAATTGTACAACCTTTAATATCATAGTGTGTTTGAGGTAACGTATCTTGAACTATTTGTTTCACATCTTCATTCGGTGTCATTGAAATCGGTAAGTTTTCGCGATAGAACCAATTTCTGTCAGATTTGTAAATCTTAGCAAGGTCGTAAAAGCTTTTGTTGTTTCTTCTGACTAAATGCAACATAACCATATCTTTATCTTCTTCATTTTCCATCTCTTCAGTATAAATCATATACTTATAGTTCTTTTCCTTTCCTTTTGGTACCGAACGTGGTATTCTTTTCTGAATGCTTTTGTCTTTTGCTTCAAGCTTGTTTTCCATCTCTCCACGTTCTGCTTTATATAGTTCATCTAACATCATGAAAATATAACAAGCATAACGAGGTGAAGTCCACATTGCTACAGCGTTTACTAAAAGTCTATGAACATAATAACCTTTCAAACCAGGTGCCAAATTCTTGCGATTTTCGTACGGAATCTCTTCTCTCGGTTTTCCGAGGGAAGCAATCATATGAGGAAATTCTTCTAAAAGTTCTTTTGTCTGTTGGTTTTCAAACCAATGATATGCTTGCTTTGTAGAACGAAGAGCATTCATTATACTTTGCATTTGGAACATGTCATCTTTGACTGAACGAATGAGACGTAACTGTTTGTTATACTGTATGTACTCGTATTCTTCATTTATAGCTTCATAGACTATAACTGTTGTTGTGTTCTCTGATGTTGACATTACTGTCTTTATATTCCGGATAAAAAAATAAATAAAAATAAAACTAACTTTATTTTTCTAACTAATGAAATTCATTATTTTTGTGCTGAATTCAATAAAAATATATTTTAGGGTAGATGGTTAGATCTAACCCGATATCTAACCTCTTTTCTACCCCAGTTATTTTATAAACGTTTCACATGGTAAACGTTATTTTTTAAATTTTGTGAAAACTCAACGGTTTGACACATGCCCTAAAAATTATTTTACTCAGAATTTTGTTGCTGAATTCAATAAAAATATATTTTAGGTGAAGAGGTGAGATTTCACCTCTTTTTTCACCTAATTTTTCACCTCTTTTTTTCACAAGCGTTTTACATGAATTGTACGATGTATATTTGAAATCCTAAACAATTTCGTAGCTTCAATTTCTTCTTTTAGTACATCAAAAATTTTAACAATGCCGAAAGTTTCTTTATACTTCTTCTTGACATCAGATAATAGGAAATCGTCAGCAGTTGGATAGTTTTTGTTCAGAAATTCTAACATGTTCATTTTATTTTCTACCGGCTTCTCTGCCTCCCTCTTTAAATCTGCATAGTCGTTTCTCATTCTTTCTATCTCTTTTACTGAATAGTTATATTTCCTAATTGCTGCTTTACATTTAGAACATTGCGGATTCATTTTTGCGTTATATTCTGAAACCTTACCTGCTAAAACAACCAAGGCGTCAATGGTTTTCTTTAAATCTGAAGCAGTTGGTTTTATCTGTTCATTCCATACCTTACCTCTTCTATCTTTATCTCTTATCTGCCATACACATTTTGCAGCTAATGAAACAAAGTTGTCGTATGTCTTAAACCCCCGATTTATATATGTCAGAGATGTTCTTATATACCATGTCGCAATCTTTGTCCATAACTTTATGGTTGCAATGATATCCTAGAAACTCATAATTTACCTTTCGTATGAACTTCTTTATTTCTACTGAGTCAGTTGCTTTGACTTCAATTTCGTCGAATTCAGGAATAGTTAGTTTTTGCTGCTGAATTTCAGGTAGTTTAGGTAAATGGTCGATGAGGTCCTCCATTTCATAAAGATACTGTTCATTTGTTTCATCTTTCGCACTACAGTCTAAATTACTTGTTAAAGTTCCTGCTTTATTCTTTGTATTTCTGTTTCGAAAGTAAATGAAGAAGGAATGAAGCTTTTCATTTCTACTAACATAGATGTTGGATTCATGACTAACGAGTTTGGTGCTGTTGTTTGAATTGTTGTTGTGCCGATTGTTGACATTTCTGTTCTTTTATACAAAATAAAAAAATAAATAAAAATAAAACTAACTTTATTTTTTCTATCTTAAGGAAATTCATGAAAATTCAAGAGGGTAGAAATGAGGGTAGAAATGAGGTTAGATCTAACCATCTACCCTAAACATTATTTTTGCTGAATTCAGCAACAAAATGAACGAGGTCAGGATGTATGTAAATACCTTTGAATTCATTTATAACGCCCTTAGTAAGCTCATAAAATGCTTGTTTTGAGGTCGAGCCACTTTTGGCTCCACCGTATTCTTTCAACCAAAACTCAAGAATTTCCTGCATGAATTTTGTATAAAAAGCAACAGTCCGAATTCCGGCGGTTGCTATATTCTTCACAAAATGCCTTATAATACTCTTCCCAGGACTTATTTTCCAACAACTTTCTAAAGTCTTTCCTAAACTGACTGACTGACTGACTGACGGCACAAAGTGGCTTAACGAAAACATTAATATATAAAATTCATGAAAATTCAAGAGGGTGAAAAAAGAGGTGAAATCTCACCTCTTCACCTAAATTATATTTTTTGGTCCGGGAACAACTTTCTCTCAATTGGAGCTGTAGCATACTCTTTGCGTAAGCGGTTCAGACCTTCTTCGAAGTCTTGGTCTCTCTTCGATTGAGATTGGAATTGGAATTGCTGGGGTGGAGCTTGCTGGAACAACCAAGGGTTGGGGAAGTAAGGCATAGGCTGAGGAGGGTAGTTCGGGAAGCCTTGTGGTGGGTAGTAACCTTGAGGTGGAAATTGGTAGTAATTCGGAGGTACTTGCTGGAACTGAGGTTGCTGAGGAGACTGTTGTGGTTCTTTAGGTTCCTCTGGTTTGGGAATGGACTCGGTTGGTGGGACGTCGGACATTCGTTTGTGTCCTAACCGTCGGACCACAACGATAAAAATCTCTGCTACTAGCAGTACTTTTACTGACAGTAGCAGTACTTTTTCTGACAGTAGCAGTACTTTTTCTGACAGTAGCAGTACTTTTTCTGACAGTAGCAATGGTCGAGGTCGAACCTACCGACGAGGCAATTTACCTAATTGAAATTAACGAGCTTGTTAAAGACTTCCTCAGGCAGAATGTAAAAGGCAAGCTTGTTAACGGTTGGATAACGGGAAGGGCTGCCTTGAATCTCGAGACTTCGACTGGAATTCCAATTGAGGTACCAGAAGGCACTCCTTTCGACGACATAAAGCAAGCAAAGAAGGAAGCCATTATAAAGTTCTTTGCCAAGCGTCCTTGGATACTACTTCCAAACAGAGAGAACCCTTTCCCAAGAATGAACCAAATTCTCAGAGCACTGTTCCACTTCTCGGGTCAGCCGTTCTACATAACCTCAGAAGGCGACATCCAACCAGTTCAGTAAACATCTCATTTTAACTCACTTTTTATGTTTTTTGTGAAAGTGTCAAAAATAAATTGTTTTCATGAGTTTTCTACGATGTTCGAAAAAATGTTATTTTCTAATATCTTCACATTCAATACTTTTTCAGCACTTTTCCGTAGTTATATATGAAAGACAATTCGAGATAAAAGTCATAGTACAATGGAATAATATGTTGCACACCATTTGTTGTGAACCAAACTTGAAAGTCAGAGAAACTGTTACTAGGTGGTTCGTAGAATTTAGAAGCAAAGTCATAAAAGTCCTTACCAATACATAGAAAACTATTGTTGCTTGAACTGAAACTTGCATGACACATAACATTTTGAGGGTCAAACACGTTTCTATAAACCATCAAATCTGCTGGTGGAAGTATAAATTTAAATGGACCATCTGGTGGTAATGGTTCGTTCTGGTTTAGTAACCGAAGAAATTGTGCCCAAGAACGTTTGTCTACTTCCCAAAATAAAAACTCTGTATCTCTTGGAGGGTTAATTTCAATCTTTTGAAATGAAACGGTGGAGTTCATCTTGTCATATTCTAGTTTCAGATAGTATGTTCCATTTAGTAAAAAGTCGTATTTTTCTTGAAATTCCCAATAATATTTGTTCATTTGAGTTTGAAAGTCATCTAGAGTTTTCTCAAGACTTTCGTCTGAACGAACTGTAAAGATTCTCATTTCGTCAAATTTGTCTATTAGACCATCAGGACCTTTATACTGCCCATGAAAATATACTGCGAACATAAATGCGTTAGTTCTATTTGAAAACAAAACTCTTCTAAATCCTATTGCCTTTGCATCTGAAGGACTTTGAAGCCAACAAATTGGATAGTCAAACCTGTATGTTCGGGATGAAATTTCTTCATCTGAAATAGTCCTACCAGCATTTGTAAAGATATAGTCTAACGGTTTTGTATCTGCTATTTTTGTTCTTTGTTTTTCAACCTGAAGCATTTAATATATGTAAAAATATATTGTTTTAAAATGGTATGCCATATAGCTTCTTGAATTTGTTAAGAAGTATTTGAACGTATTTTCCATCTGTATCTCTAGTGTTTACATAAGCATAGCCCGCCTTAGTAAAATATACTTGTAATTTCCTATATTTTACGCCGGTATAAAAGTAGAAAGAGTCTTGTTCTTCGCTATAGTAGTAAAACTCAAACGTATGCTTGCCATAGTCTGTAATTTCAATTGTTTCATCTTCTAGTTCGTCGACAAATTCGAATACAATATCTCCAAATTTGCCTTTGTTCTTATTGTTTTCAGAACGAGTGACCCAACGTAAGTTTTCAAGTCTATTGTCGTTTCTTATATGGTTTATATGGTCTACAAAAGGTAAATTGTTAGGATTCAGTATAAAATGAGTTGCAATGACAACATGTTTAAGATAGTGTTTTCCACCCATCTTCATAATAGCATATCCGTCATTTCGCTCCCATTCGCTTAAAACTCTTTTTGTCTTTTTGTTTCTGACTTCAAATGACTCACAACAGTGAATTTCATATTTCTCATCTAACAAACAAGTTTCCCAACGGTCTTCTCCAACAAACTCAGCGTACATTTCAAATAAAATAAAAAGAATGTCACTTTTTTAAAAACGTTTTTACTTCATGCAATGTTTAACTATTTCACCATCTTCTTTAACACCCCAGTACTTACGCTTGGAGAGGACATGAACTTCGGAAAATACCTTATCTAGCTTAAAACAGCCCATCTTTTCACCGACCATTCCCATTTCAATGAGTTTGTTGTATCCTTCTTCGTTCGTCATGAGTGCGTCAATGTTCTCATAGTAAACCTTCACTTTGGATTTGACTTCGGAGAAGAATTTGTTGTAGTTGTCAAGTACTGCCTTTGCGAACTGAGGGTAAGACCAATGTTCGACAATAGGTTTTAATGTGGTTACTAAGCCACTTTGACCTTGAGTGAATTCGTACTTCAAAACAAAAGGAGAAAACCTTTCAACAAAGTTGTCGACCTTCTCATAATGTTTACTCTTCATCTCTTGAGGTTTCTTAATGGAATATCCCCATGTCGAATTCATAAGCAATTTGAGTGTCATTGCAAGTTTGGGGTTTGAAGCTTTCCTAATATCATACAGTTGTTGTATGACTTTTCCAACTGTATAGTTCCTTCCCGGGAACTCACCATCTTCGTTTGGAATTCCAGTCGGAATATATTGGACAAACCTCATGTATGCAGCGTTAAGGTCGACATAGTATATCTTTTCATCTGAGTCGAACTTGTCGCAACCAATTGGTCCAGTTTGTGGAAATTCAAGTGAGTCTCTTATCTTCTGAGAAACTTCTCCTGTTATCTCATAAACATCGTCGAAGCAACCTGTTTCATATAAAACCTTCTGACCTAACTCAGATGCTCTCCAATACAATTTGACGTCAATTAGATGTCTCAATGGAAGTTTGTTTATAGCATCTTGAAGTTCTTGCAACCTCATTGGAAGTTCTTCTGGTTCAGGTTGGTATCCGAACATACCAACCCCTTGTGGAACTGTGTACTTCTTAGTTAGTATACAAGTCTTGGGTATGGTGGCACTGCGTTCCACCTTACCCAATACTTGTGAATTTGACACTTTACAAAACCGTTAACGTATATTTTACAACATGAACGCAAAAACTAACTTAACCTTAAATATTTACAAAGCCGCCAACAATTTCACCTCACTATCGTTCTCACTAACAACTTCACTAATGTTCTCATAAATTTTCCTCAATATCTTCATCATCAGTGTTAACCCTATTGTAGTCATACTTGAAGCCATAAACTTTCTCTAACTTCTTAACGTACAATTTACATAACTTACCTTCGTCATCGTATGGTTTAATGATATAACTATTTCTATCTTTATAAACAGTCAATGAAAAGTCAACTGGTCTCGGATGTATTTGAAAGAACATGTTATGCTCAGGAAGGAAGAATAAATGTTTAAATGTATGTTTGTTATATGTTTTGATTTGTATGAGTTGCTTTTGTTCTGTCATTACATCCAAATAAAATAAAAATAATTTTAAAAAATAAAATAAAAAATAAATGATATCACCACCCTCACACGTATGAAAACATAGCACAAAAAATAAATTTAGGTGAAGTGGTGAGATCTAACCCGATTTCTAACCCGATTTCTAACCTCATTTCTACCCTGTTGAATTCATTGCTTTATAACTCTCTTCCTTGGTTTCTTTTTAGTTGCTTTCTTCACGTCTGTCTCCAACTTGACTGTCTTTCTTCTTCGTCCATAATGATACAATTACTTCCACCAGTCAATGGGTCAAATGGTCGTTCATAAGGGTTTCCATACATTCCATAAGGTCCGTATGGATAAACCGCTGGTGGAGAAGAAACATTTTCTTTAGTTCCATCGACTCTATTTAAATGCATTGTTTCACCTTTCATCTGGTCATTAAAGTCTTTTGCGTGTTTTGCAAACTCATCGTCCTTTCCTAAAGCATTTTCTGACTCAGTCGCAACCAAATTGGATGCTTTATTTATGAGCCCTATTTTATTTAATCTTAACTTCTTTGCAACCCAGCCTCCAATCTTTCCTTTATTTGCATCTAATGTCTTTGAAACCCTTCCTCCACTCATTTTATTTACTGCGTCATAAGCTCCAAGTGCTTTTGCTCCAAATGCTAATGCTTTTGTTCCCATTGCGCCTAAAGCTGCCCAAGCTACCATTTACCCCATATTAAAATCATCTCTCTTCAATATTATCTCATAAAAGTTCTCGTTACTGGAGAAAGTCAATGAAACATAAACATTCTCACGGGCTTCACCCTCACCGCTTTGCGGTCTATCTAACTTCTTTCTTATCTCATCTATTCGCTTCAAAATGTCTGAACAATTGCTAACATCTTCTACAACAGTTATTTCATCATGAACGACCTTTAAGAACAAGCTCATTTAATATGCAATTAAAATCATCTCAATAATGAGTCCATCCTTTCCATCTTTAGGTAGCACAACATCTTTCATTGAAGAAGGTTCGACAAGTCTTATGTTAAACTTACTGACAAAGTTTGTTATACTATAATGCTTCGGTGGCGAATACATGTAGTTTGAAAGACATAATATAGATTCTTCAGCAAATTCACTTATACTGGATTTTATAACAATGTTCTCACGAGACCAAACGCCACCAATTGACAATCTTGTAAGCAATCCTGCTGAGCCTTCAACTGTAAACGTCGATGGTAACATTCCACGAAGGTCATCTATTGACATCTTTGAGTCACTGAATTTAAATATTTTCTTAAAGCAATCGTCATTATCTAACCATGCAATAGCTTTGAAGTTTTCATTCGAATATACATCTGCTTCATTAAATGTAAATCCTGACTTCTTTGCAGAGACGACTTTAAAATCTATTGAGTTTGTTTCAAAATTATATGCTATGGTAACTTCTGAAGGTAATGGGTGTCCTTCTGCTATAAGTTGTTCTTTCAATACCATTTGAAGCTTTGTGTTAAAAACTTTCATGTCATCTCCTGTATCTAAGTTCACATACACAGCAACAGGGAAACTATCTTGCTTCTTTGTTTCATCATTATATCTCAAAACATTAAAGTTCTTCAATAATATTGTCCTTCCTGCTGGAATACTTCTAACTTGTCTTATTTCAATAGCTTTCTCACCTCCTACATACTCTACCCAGTGTCTTGGATATTCATAAGTATACTGACTTTCTTGAATTTTGGTTGGTTTCATCATAACGTGTTCATAGTATATCTTTATACTCTTGTCAGTTAGACTCGGTGCTATGTTCTGAATATTTCTGACTTGCATTTTTAATGGAGATAAAATGAAGCATTTAATACATGACGTAGATGAAGACATGAATGAAACTACAGACAAACTTAACTCTTCTCTTATTCTTCCTTTCAGCAAAGATTATGAATTCTGTTCAAATGGTGTGTATTTCTATTGTGGAAAGATGGGTTCAGGTAAGACATTTAACCTCATTCGTCATATACTCATAACAGAGCGTTTAGGAAACGACTCTTACTATGACCAAATCATTATATCAGCAACTTCAGACTCTATGGATTCAACAGCGAAAACATTCATGAGTAAAGTTCAAGCATCTGTCGTTAAAGTTCCAGATAGCGAACTCATTGAATTTCTTCAACGTTACATTCGACGTAAGAGAAAATATTATGCTATTGTAGAGTTCATAACAGTCAGGAATGCAAAAGACTTCAGAAGAGATGGAAAGAATTATTGACAAACACCACTTACGTCAGTACTCAGGAGTTTACGATATGAAACGACTGACAAACTACATTCTATCAAAACTTTTAAAATACCCCTTCAAAAAGTATCCTTCAAACACTCTGCTCGTTTGTGACGACTTCGCCGGAAAAGGTTTAGTGTCAAAGCCTGACTCACCATTAGCTAACATCATAACTAAAGTCAGACATTACCATTTAACTGTAGCAATACTTATGCAAACATGGAGGTTTTTAGCTTTAAACATAAAACGTCTCATAACTGACTTCGTTATCTTTCAAGGTTTCTCACGCTATGACATTGAACTCATTTGGAAACAGTCAGGTATAACATTACCTTTTGAAGAAATTTGGGAAGCATATAAGTCTCTCATCTCTCCTCGTTCATACCTTGAGATTCATATCATGACTAATACCATTAAAGTCAAAAATATTCCATGGGAACGACCAACATTATTTTAAAGTTTAACCTTCAATTGACTGATGGTAAACAAATTCCATGCATCTCTGTCGCCATTTCTGTTAATATTTTTGCTGTCATTCATATCATCCACTTCCCCATCCGTTAGCTTTGAGGATATGCGTTAGAATAGCTGTTCTTAAATGAAGGCTTTTCACCTTTGAGAGCATAAACTCTATAACTTTCTGCATACTTTATGTTTGAACCTCCCGAGCCATCATTGACATAAATTTTTATAGGCTTCCACCCTTTGTTCATGTTCCTGCTTCTTCCCTTAGCTCTTTTGTTCAGTAGTTCTACATCTTTATACACAGCACCTGTCTCAGTGAATTCAACAATATTTTCATTCGTTAGCTTTACATTCAAACCCTTGTCGAGTATATTGTTCATTTCATACATATAAAAGGTTTTTATTCTATATGAAATGAGAAGCAAATCCATCTTAGCTGGTGCCGTTAATGTTCCAATTGAACCAACATCAAATGTTGACTCACGAACGACAAACAATATTGTCATAAAGAACTATAGTAGTCATGTGATTTTATCCCAAGCATATGGGGATTCTAAATTTTTGTCCCTATCGTTATCCCAATTGAATTTTTTTTGGAATTTAAAATTTTTTTTCTCCATGTAAACTTAAATTTTAATTTTTACCACTAAAATGCAATATTTCAACAAATTAATGAGTAATAATATTTTAATTTATAATAAATATTATAAATCTCCTCAATTTAATGTAATTATTGTATTAATTTTTGTTGAAAATATAAAATCTTCAAGTAAATGATGTGAATTTAATATTTTTAGAATGTTGTTTAATTGTACTATATTATGCATGTAAAATTTTGTTACAATACATTTTATATGGGATCCCCATTGCCCAATTGAGAGAAAATTGAGAGGTGGGATTGGGCTAGCCCAATTCAAAATATCCCAGGTGGAAATAAAAAAATTAACAATTCAACATAAAAAAGCATCTTAAATAATAATGATAAAAAGAAATTTTGTATGAATTTCAATCAAATTTGTTTTTATTCAACTTAAGAAATCACTTCATTAATGAAAGAAGTCGGGTTCACAACATATCCCGATCTTGAAACGAAACAACATGTTTTTTTGATGCCCTAAACGGGGGGTCGCCAGCAAAAAAAAAGATGTCAAAATTTATCCCAAAAATTTAAAAAAAATCGAAGAAAGTGCATCCCAGGGATTATAAAATTTAAGTTTTCACATCTCTAAACTATAGTTCAGAGTGTTTGAAAGAAAAAGAACCAGAACTTAAGTCGGGACCTTCGGTCTTGGCGCATGGCGCTGTGAATTTAAACACAGCTTCAAACGCTAACGCTACATCAGATGTTAAGTTAGAGTATCCACCACTGGACCAAATTCTTTCAAGAGAAGCCAACGACAACCCTTACACAAATGTTCAAACAAATCCTTCAGATAACGTAGACCATTACCTTCTTCAGTTATACCAAACAATTTTACTCAAAGACGATAAGAAGCTTTTGACAAATCTTATAAGCAAGAACCAAATAATTCTAACAAAGGAGGACCTTGAAAATATTATATCACGAATAACAGGAAAGCAATGTGTCATTGACTATCTCGACCCTGAAATCGAATGCTGTGGTCAAACTCCAATATTCATGAAAATAGGTAACATCCGCATCATTGAAACACCAGGTACTCCAGGAGTTGAGTTTAAGTATAAATATTCGAACGAGTATACAAAACTATCTACTTACTATAAGCTTTGTTTGAAATATGTTTTAGTAAATTAAAGCAATTTGTAATATCGATCCAAAACTTCTTCAACAGTATCGAACTCATCTTCATAATGCAAACCTAATCTTATTGACTTGGTGCAGTTTTCACTAACACAATATTTTTCTGTTCTCTTGACTGACATAACTAACTCATTTGTTTCATCAAACAGCAACAACCAAAGTTCATGACCTAATACATAACATTCATACTTTATATTTTTAGCTCTGAGTTCTCTTGTAAGCTGTTGCATTTAATATTTTCTAAAAAGTCAACTTCAACAGTCATTCGCACTGGTGCCTTCAGTTCTACAGGCTCTCTTTGAAAGCCAACAAGTCTGAATTGCATATCTTTCAAATTATGTGGACTAATGCGAACCCATTTACCTAAATGAGTTGCTATGACAGGAACGTTTGGAATGAACATTGAATTTACTTCATAACAGAAGGATTTATATTCTACTGAACCTTTACTATTAACTCCTGAAATACCTGTGACATTAGCTATTTTTGACTCAATGTACAAACAATTGCCATAACATACGTATGGAACAGATTTCATCTCAATCGTTTTGTCAACACTTTTCAAAGGAAATGTCATATGGTATGCTCCCAAAAGAAGTTGTACTCTATGACTCATTCTTGGTATCTTAAACTCTTTCGCATAACTGAACTTCAAAACTCCTGCAATAAGTTTAACATTCATTAAGTTTTCTCCGTTATCCTTGTTTATTGTAGTATTTATGAGAGCATTTAACACTCCAGCTAATGTTTCCATCTTATATTCTACATTATTGTGAAATCTTATTTCGTGCTTCTTTCCATCTATTTCAAGCTCCATGAAATCTGTTTCGTCAGTTATAACGAATGAAGCAATAGTATTAAAGTCAACCATTCTGAATGCAAGTGGCTCATTCTGTAGACCTAAGTTTGTTTGTAGTTTTACTGTCCCGTATTCGTTTGGGTCTGTACTTTGCAAATAGAACAACATTTTATTCTCATTAAAATATGAGTATAGCTGCATATGCGTATGAAGCTGACAGAGCTAAACGTTTATATTTTGGTCAATACTCTCTCACACTTACTGACAAATATATTGTTATCAGTGATGGAAATACCGAGAAATACATAACATGGAAGGACTATGAAAAGTTTGACCCCATTTTAACTCCATGCACTATGCCATTCATTGTAAATGGTGAAATTGTCATGAAGAACGACACAACAGTATATAAGTCTGTTCATGAAGCGTTAGAATATATGTTGAATTATAATCCCGAAAGATTGACCCAAGCACTACGCCATGTACAATGCCTTTTATTAAGGATGGTGAAATCGTAAGAGTTCCGGATTCAACGGTTTACACAGCTGTTCAAAACAGTTTACAAAACATTTTAGCGAATATCTTTAATTCAGAAACTACAGAAATAAAATTACCATATATAACAGATGCTAAAGAAATTAAATCAAAAACGACAACATTATTTACGTCACTTAATGATTTAATGACTTATATCATTAATATTCCTGCACCAACTATAGCATTTGATCCAAACTCGACGGTTTGCAGTGTACCTTTCATAAATGACAGTTCATTAATTACTTTAAGGGATTCGACAGTAAATGAATCATTAAAGGCGTCATTAATGAAAATCATTGATTTTAATTCATTCATGAATACATATAATTCATTCATTAATGTTTCATATGCTTCTAAAGAAGGTGAGCCAAAAACTATCGATAAAGCGGTGTATGAAATAAAAGCATCAACGACGAAATTGAATTCGTTAACTTTTGACGGTGATAGTTTCGTTAATGACATAACATCGGGGAAAACAATTTTAACGAAAGAATATTTAAAATCTCATGTTAGTGAGTTCGTTGAAATTGAAAAAGAAGGTGGAATTAAGTTCGATCCACTGAATTTCATTTTCAGCTTAGCGAATGCGGGTGTTAGTTTCGCTGAATGGACAACTATACAGAGTGAAATAAATGCAATATGGACGTTTTTGGGGTCAAAAGCGGGAATGGGTGAGCTTGTAAATGCTGCAAGAACATTAGGTGAAACAGGAAATTTTGTAGATGGTTTTAAAAGACTTGTTTCAAATGTTTTAACAAACACAAAGAAATTATTTAGATATACCGTACATAACGGACGGATTTTCGAACAGATAGCAACAAACCCTCCGGTTATGACTGCGTTGATGATGGTTAGAGATATAAAACCACGTAACGACGGAACGAAGAACATGAACAACAGGATACTGGTCGGGTTATTCGAGACATTAAAAACGTGTATCCTGAAGTTATTGATTTATTTAGAGGAGTTAA